AAACCTAAGCAATTACAAAATGGAAGGAATTTTTATAGAATTAGAAGCAAGGAAGAGAGAAAAAAATTGGCATAGCTTTGCCTAATAAGGAAAAAAAAAAAAAAAAAAATAGCTACCAAATATTCCTTTAATCCAATAGAAAGAGGTCCTCTCGTGGCAACTACATCTCCACCATCCAGATCCAAAATCTCTAAATAAAATCAAAGGTCTACAATAATCCCTAAGTCTAAATTCAATTTTATGGTTGAAAATGCCTATAATTCAAAAATTAATTCTTTTTTGGCAAAACTAACACCATTAATACATCCAAAATATATTTTTATCCTAAAATTGATAATTTACAAGATCAAATTCAAATTCTAAATTATTAAAATTAATTAATTATCTAATCTAATTATAAACTTTAACTATAATATTAATATTAATTAGCCTACTTAGGAGATCAGCAAGGCTTCTTGCCATTAAGGCCATCATAATCATCATTCTTCAATTTAAACTCCCTTAAGTACAAACTCTTGGAAAATCAAAACTCCAATTGCAATTTGGCCTTGAATTGATATTTTTTTGATTTTGTTTTTGATTTTTTTTAACTTCAGATAGAAATTAAAATCACTAAGAGAGGAAATTCTAATACAAAGAATACCTCATTTCTATCTTCTAAATTTTATTATTAATTTAAAAATTAAATTTTATATTTTTGATCCATTTTAAATTAAAAAATAGAATTTAAACTTCAAAATCTTGAAATTAATTAGGAAGATAGAGTGATTAGGTGTCAAGGATATCTAATCATAGTCAAATTAGAAATTAGCCTTGGAATTGAATATGAAGATTGTAGATTAATTCAAAATATAATTCCTACAAATTAAAAGAGAAATTCTATTAAAATATTATTTTTAGTACTACAAAAAATTAAACCAATTTTTTAAAAAAAATCATAGACTTTTTAAATTTGCTATTTTTAAAAAAAATTAATAATCATTAAATTTAATAATTAGAAGTATCTACCTAATTATTAACCTAAAAAATAAAATAAAAGTCATTATTACTTGAAAAACTAATTTGGATTCATTAATTAATTATTTTAGCATTAAAATTAATAAAAATATGTTAAAAATTACAAAGGTGATTATAACTAACCATTGGAGCTATTAATTTTTCTCACAAGAAGCTTTATACTTTCTTAGATCAACAATATATTTTTCAATAAGACTTAATTTATATCATATAATTTCCTTGCAGAGTTGACATTGTACAATTGATACTATTATAAAGCCTCAAGTCCTCTAATTGTAGATAAGATGTTGAATACGGTGAGATTTGGAAAAGCAAAATAGAACTTCACTTTCTTCTACAAACTTCACCATTTATTATAATTCAATTTCTAAATACAATATTTGTCAAGTTTATGTATGTCCTAACTTGATATGTATTACATCACTGCCTTGATGGGATGAGCTTGAGGTTACTTCTATCATTTTTCAATCAAACATCTTTCAATCTGATTTTTTCAAATCTCAACAAAAAAGTAAAGTCTAATATGAAAAAAAAGAAATATATATAATTTCAAATGTCATGATTGCAACATAATATTTTACAATACTCATACATCAAAGCCTTGACAAAAGATATCTACAAAGTTTATTGAAGAACAAGCACTATGAAGTCACAATACTTAGCATTAGCAAGATTGCATACTAAGAGAATACAAAGTAAGATATCTCTCACTTTCAACACCCATTACTTATAGGTAGTGGCTACTGCCCTAATTGACAACTTCTATCCTTTGATGAATACATCCATCCAATATTCTATCAAGACTATCCATTGTTATCTTATCTATTGTAAAAATATGCTTTTAGTATATTTTCTATATTCATAAGATTTTTTGTCCATTCATCTATTTTATCTCTTGACCTTCTTACATATCAAGAGCCAATCCTTTAACAAATAGCAACTTACCTAAACTAATATTCTCTCCAATGTTACTTATTCTACTTTTGTATTTATTTATATACTTTAATAAAATTCAATATTATTGAGGTCAAAAACCTTGATATTTATATTATTATTTTTTTCTAAATTAAAAAATGTCTAGATCATTAATTGGAGCATTTAAAGAATATAGAGCCTTACCTCGGTTCAAACTTTTCAACATAAATATTATACTAATTCCTAAATTATTATTTCTATATTAATCTTAAAATTTGAATATAATTTTTTTATCAAATTTACTTGTTTCTTAATCTACTTTAAGATATATGATCATAGAGGGTTGTTCTAAAAAGCATTTGACTGGGTGGTCTAAGAATCCCTTATTTTATTTGACTGTCTTATCTATTAGTCTTGTTTCTTTCTTCATAAAAAGTCTTAGACTTTATTTGAATCTTAGTCTTCATCAAAATAATGGCTTATATTTAGAATATTCTATTAATATTTTTTAATATTATTACAAGCATCCAAAGATCTTTACTAGATAAAAAAGATTGAATTTTTACATCCTTGTTATCTTCTATATTCAATACTATTTCTATATATTCTTCAAGGTCTATATTTATTTTTTTACCTTGTGGCTATTTTTTCTTGACAACAATTTGAAATGTTATTTTGACTTAGTTTGTATATAAAATTTTCACCAATTGATGAATCACAGAAACAATCTTCACACCTTCTTTGATTAGCTCATTTTTAACCTTCTACACTTTTGACATCTAACTAAAAAAATTTGGTTGCCATCTTTATCATACAACTTATCTATAGAAGCTTTTGTTAGTATTATATGGGCTTTAGATATTACAAATAAGTACAAGACTTTACCTTGTAAAATCAAATATAATATGCACAATGATTAAAAAAATATATTTCTATTTATTAACTCAACCAAAATCACTTAGCCTTTGGTCCATTACTATTCTATCTTGTCATGCTACTACCCACAACTAAGTAAGCAATGTACTAATACTTGACTATCTTATTGTGTTTCTCCCAATCCTTAAATATTCTTCTATATTGTTGCGTCTTTAATAATTTTGATAGTACTATAATAACTTCTTGCTTCCTTGCTTATTGTTTTTCTGATGCCATATTGTTGGATTTACTTTGGAAAATATCATCCACAAGTAAGTACAAACTTTTCATGTAGATAATACATCCACAAGCAAGTGCAATCTCTTTAGGCAGATAATAGTTAGCTCATAATTTGTTCCTATAATTTTGCTTGGTTAAGCAATTCTTGATCAGTAGTACAAAAGGCCTTAGATTCTTTTATCCTATCTATTTAATTGGTTGCAAAGGAAATATTAATATCTACTTATCAATTAACCTTCCAAACTTCCTCTCTCCCTAGCAAATTTTCTTCTCTTCTCTTCCAAATCTCATCCCTTGTCTTTTAATTTTTTCCTTCAATCTCTCAAATTTTTTCTTTGGCCTTCTTAAGATTGCCTTATATCTCTCAAAGTTCTTAGAGTTGCTAGAGCTTTGCATCCTCCTTCACTTGCTTTAGTGATCTTAGTACCTCAAGGATTTGTAGCACCTTTTAAACATTGTTGTCTTTGGATTGTCTATCTTCGATTACTCAATATCTAAGCTTTATCAAGCCATTTCTCCTTTGAGCTATTCTTCATCTTTTGTCTAAATGATCTAATATTTGGCTTGGTATTGATGGTACATATATAGAGATATAACAAATTAATAATAAATGTACATACTTTCTCATTTATTTCTTGTCATCTTTCTTTGATATGTCTCTCACTTATTTATTTTCATTCTTTAAGCTCTTATCTTTGACTTATAAAATTATCAATCATAAAATCTATAAATTCTTAGTTTTATTTTTTATCTTAGATTTTTTTTCTATTTGAAGCTTTTGCTATCCTTAAATAAAGACAAGTACAACAAAATGCAACCATATCTTTATTTCTATAGATATTCCAATCTTTATTGTTCATTTTTTTCTAAATTGAATTCTGTAGTTTATGCAATTGCTGAAATTTTTCTTCTCGTGGTATTTTAATGCATTGTAAGTAATTATTTAAAGACTTTCTTTTCAATTCTATACTCACATTCTTATAGTTAATTTTTAGTGGTATCATGTTACATCTATTCTTATTATTACAAATACTCTATTTTTTAAAATAATGTTATTAAAAAAACCCAAATTTTAATGCAAAATTTAAAAGTGTCCCAAAAAATATTAGGTCTTTTTTAAACATCTACTTTATGTAAATTCTAAAAAAAATCAATCTAAAAATCTATAAGATCTTTTTATGATGAGAAGTAGTTTAAACTCTTAAACCTAATTACATATATTACTTATAATAATTGATATAAATATATATATATATATATATATATATATATATTTTATTCCACCAATATTAATTTAGAATAACATGTTACGTTTTTTAATCTTCAAGTGCCAATACAACAACAAAACTTTGTTTCCTTTCTTTTGATGTATAAACGTTTTTAAACTAAATATAAATACATCTATATATATGTATATATATATATATATATAAACAAAAAATATATAAAAAGAAAAGGAAAAAGAATTGAAGATGTAAATAAAAAGAATGAAATTTAAGAAAAACTCAAAAGCTTAGATAAATAGATAACAATTATGACATGATTAGTTTTGTTTAATAATAACAATTTGAGGTGGTTAATTGAATTGCCTTTTCACACTTATAATATCTCTAGCAATCCAAGTTTCTAAATGATCATTTTTCTCCTGTAAATAAACTTGTGAATTACATTTCAAAGTGGGATTTGGAACATAAAGACCCAGAATATAAACTCTTGAGGACAACATTATACATGACAAAAAAAAAAAAAAAAAAAAAAAAAATGCAGTCCATATCATTTTTTCCTCTTTTTATAAATTCTTACGACTACGACGACGACGACAAGAGCAAGATAAATTCTTCAGGCACTCACACCAATTGCATATCATAAAAGCAGAGAAAATTGTGGATGAAACAATACCATGACGATTTTTGTAAAGCTGGAGAATTAACAAGCAGCTTAAGTAAGAATCATGATGTAAGATTACTTGGCAGGAACTACTGCCACACATCACAAATATAAATCTTCCTGCCTGACTACCTGCCCGCAAAATTAAAGGCTCTGGGAATTCTACAAGCTAACACTTTCCATGCCTGACTACCTGCCCGCAAAATTGGAGGCTCTGGGAATTCTAAAATCTAACACTTTCCATGCCGCTGGCCTCAGTGACATATTAGTCTTGCTTCGCCAAAATTGAGGATACATGAAAGTCACAAACTGTACAGAAATCCTAACCTATTTGTTTTTAAACTGATCATAAGCAAGACAACCGAATCACCTACATAATTAGTCTCCACTTGCACAGCCATGACAACCACAATGCACGCATTCGATAACCTTCTCTTCTCGCAGATGCTTGGGCACCCGGCATACACATGTTGTTCCATAGTTGTGATCACGGGGTTGAATACACCGCAAACAACACAAGCGCTCGTAACCAGACTGCCATGTAAGCCACAAATTCCCAACGGCAACATTAGGCATCGATCAGGTAGAAAAGCATGCCACATAATAGCAAAATCCAGATTACATTTCATAAGAAGACAGTATCCGAAATTAACAAAAATACTAAGTTAGAAAATCTTCGATTATACATTTGCAATGCAACAGCAGGATCATGATTACCGCAACAGAGAGCCACAACAATTTGACATAATAATACATGTATTACGCTATGTACTGTACAGACCTCAAGTGATGCAGAAGCTACTAGATGACCAGCCAAAGATTGAAAAACTTACTTTCTTCCATTTGGCAATTAAATTCTTGTCCGCGTGGCCTTGTTCTAAGCAGAAGTCGAATAGCTTTCTTGTAATGGCCTTCCGCCTGTAAAAGAGATCGTAAATATAACGACTCTTTTGATGTGAAATTTTGAATATGGGCCACAATGCCTCACATTTTCTCTTACCCTCATGGGTTTCATTCTCAGCTGCATCCCACAACAAAATTATATTTCGGTCAATTCAAGGCTCCATATTAATATGTCACCATCTTGAGTTACTAAACTGCGTAAAATTTGGAACGTAAAATTAAAAATGTTAAAACAGATAAAGTGAACAAAAATGGCCAACGCTCATAAACTCTACTATGCCGAAGCAGCAAAATCTAACAACACAACACTAATGGCTATTGCCACGAACAGACCTAGAATTCGAAAACGAAAGAGAAAAATATTGCAACAGCACACGCTCAATGCGATATCATACGATAGGGACATACACAGCTAAGCGTAATCACGAGCATCAACAGCTCGTGAAGCTGCAACTAACAAAAAAAGTCCGAGGCGTTTTAACAAATTAGCTATGGAGATGCATAACCCGACAACGTAGAAAGCGCCCACCTCCCGTCACAAATCCTACCCAAAGTAACCATAAAACTTTAGGTTTACTGGAAATTCTCGAAGAAAAACGTGAAAAATAAAAATAAAAATAAATCCAGCACAATCGACGCACCTTCACGCATTTTAGTTTCTAGTTCGCGCAGAGTAGGCTCGATGAGCTCCCATCCCTCGGGATACACCGTCCGATTGGTGCGTACCTTGGGCATCTCACTCTAGCTCTCTCCTTCGTACTGACTCCAAGCAAAAGCCTGCCCCCGGGCCTTGTAATCGAGCCAAATGGCGCGCGCGACAGACTAAAAGAGAAGTTGGGCTCTAGAAGAAATTAAAGAGTGAAGCATCGGGCATGAAGCGGAAGCTTGAGTGAGAACATAGTATTGTCATCATCCGCAAAGCTTCGCAAAACCTAGATGACGACAATGTGGAGGTTTTGCCCGTTGCTTTGTCGCCAAGTTCCAATGCCCTTCAACCCTACAAGCTCCCCAACATTCGTTGCAAATACTTCATCCATTTAACTTATTCATCCCCTCCCTGACATCTTCCATGAGAACGCTGTTGAAAAGACGACTTCTTTAGTTCCAATGCCACTTGTCAAAATCGTATCACTAAATATAATCCGATATACGTTTAAGTGTTTGACGATTGTACTTCTTAAAATTGCAACAATGGCCACACTCAATGCAAAATAGTAATAGAATTCTCATACGAGTGTGTTTCCTTATAAAAGAGAAAACACTTTACCGATCTAAAAATAATAGTGATAATATGATGAGGTCGCCGCAACCTTGGCACTGACTACAAGTGCCACGTCAATTCCGGCGGATGTAACCGCGCCAAATTTTGACGCCACGGTGGAGTGCAAGGTCCACGGTGGCACCAAGCCTCACATCCGGAGCACTACGTAGTGGGATGCGTCTCGTAGTGATAGATGACCCCCACTAGCTGCACACCCACCGATGGCCTCATCTCACTCTAATCTGGGCACTATCCGTTCTTTTTGTGTGCTGTGGATTCTGGCCAGAGGTTGTATTCTTACTGCGTGTTTTCAGCTGGTGGTGGGTTCATTGTATTGCGCACACACGCGGTGTTGAGTTCTGCCCCGTCGTGAATCTGATACGATGCGCTGGAATTCGTTGTACTTGTCTAGAGACTGTCCGCTGCAGTCTTCGGGTAGCGACTAGGCTGGGACGATGGCCTTCTTGTGCTGGGGAGCGTGGTGTTAGTTTGATAATACAGCTTGTAGTGAACAGTGGGGAATTTGAGGTTGGCGGTAGCGATGACGATGGCGGCGTCTTGTTTCTTGCTTCCATTGACGCTCTTGTGCTCAGTGTTGCAGTTATCAGTGGGCACCCCTGAAAGCGATGGTAAATTGCCTCATTTGTAGACTGGTCGAATGGTTGTTTCGGAGTCTGGTGCGGATTAGTGAACAGGAAAAAGTTGGAATTATTTGCAATGAGAGGTTTGGCTGGCGAAGTTTTTTGGCTTGAGGATGGCACTGATATCGTTTCGGGGCCTGCAGTGGCAGCATTACAAGGGTTGCTGCGCGAATGGCAAAGAGCGTCTACTATCTTGGACAGCTGAGTATGGAGGAGGATGCAGATCCTTGCGGTTCCGGATGCAAGGGTGTCGTCTGCAGCAAAACGCATTCAGTGACAAATTTGTAATCATCTTCAGCTAGTGGATCTCCAACGCTACTGAAACTTGAATGATTCAGTTGACGAACCTCCAGCGTGTGCTTCAATTGTAGTCACTCAATAAGCTAACTCGACGAATTTATGCAGACATTTGAGCAGTGCGAATTTGAGTTGGGGCATCCCAACCGCCATCGGAGGTCTCCAAGAACTGATATCTGTGTATGCATCTGCTAGCTTTCTCATTGTTTACAGGCATATGGTTTGATCTTTAAATGCTGGTCTGCTTATTCGAAGTTTTGTTCTTTGGAGCAGACGTTTGAAAACCCTGCCAACTAACTTACACTAGAATGTCAGCTGATTTAGTAGAGTAACTATAGGAACCTCTGTAAAAAATTAATTATGATGTATCAAGCTTGAGCTCGGAATGGGATGCGCGGTTCGATTGTTGTGAGGCTGCGCTACTCTGGTGCAGGGATTTGTTGGAGAACCCTAAGCTGACATCCACCATCCCAAGGCAGATAGGGCAGCTGCGGCGACTCACTCACCTGTAAGTATCTCCAAACGCCATACTAGTGACGCCCTGTTTCACCATGCACATCCATAATATTCTATATCTGTTCACAACGTTGCCGTAAAATGAATATTTCGCAGTCCTGTCTAAACAGTCCAGCGTGCCTACATCCGCACGAAATCCTTAGTTAGAACGTGAAGATGAAGGTACCGGCCGTGCAAACTCTCGAGTACTTGTGAAAACCTTGATCAAGCGGTTGTGGATGGTATCTCACGCGCGACTTAGTTATTAAAGAGCTAAATAATGTTGAAATAGTCATCAGATAAGTGGCAATCAAGCTGGTTAGCTTATGAAACCATCTAGATGGTACATAATTAGCTTCTGAGGCAACAAGTATTTACCCCAGGGCTTCCCAACTGCTACATTATGTGAACAAATTAAGACCGGATATAAGGGCATCTGGATCTAAGTCTTGCAATAATAAGGAAACTTGTAAAAGTTGAAATGGCTATTACTTGATACTTTAACTTGGTGGAAGGGTTTCCAGGCTGTGGTGTACTCAACATCTTAACAACCTTATTCTTAAGCACAAATAGAAACTTCGAGACAACGTTCAGGAGGTAGTTAGCAGATCATGGTTAGCATTGCACTGTAACGTATAAAGCTAAGAACTGAAGTTGAACACGTACAGCGTGGCCAGTGATTTTGTGGAGACAGCTAATAGACTTACGTCGTAGGGCTGGGGTATCTAAAGTGATGGCCTCGGAGGTCCGCTCCTTGATGGTGTGGTTTAAATTAAGGGCAGGATAAGATTACTACAGTTACCCATCGCGCAAATAAGGGGAAAAAGTTCCAGCCGCCGAACACCCGTCGGAACGCATGCCTTCAGTGTGCCATTGCAAAGTTAGTATTTGGAAGCATTCTAGATGGCCATGATCTATTTGTGAATTATTATAACAGTATTCAGTATGCAATAACAGGAAAGATTCTTTCTGAATAATGCGTGTACGGCTTGACACTGCAGGAAACTTTCTGGCTGTAATTTTCACGGCAAGGTCCCCGAGGAGATTTACAACTTGAATAATCTAGAGTATTTGTAAGTGCATCTGAAGCTGTAAAGTATGTTTGCATATGAATTTTGACTGGTAGAAGCCGTCCCACTGCTTTCTGCAGTATTAAATCATTTCTTGTCAGTTGGTCACTCTTCTTGAGGGAATCTTGAATGCAGTTGGCATATGACGGTGCTTTGAATTATCTAGGGACTTGTCGAACAATCCACAACTTTTGCAGTGCGAGAATGCCCAAGACCTCATCACTCTGTAAGTCCAATCCAACCTGTTTTTATTGATTACATGTGTCATTGCTCAGCAACTTTTGTTGGGTCCTGGGAGTGAATTTTCCACATATTTGTTCTCGTTATCAGAATTTTTGAACGAAATGCAAGCTTTTGACACTTGAAGTAGTCCTGAGCTGCAAGGCCCGGAAAATACAGGCCGTTGCCATGTTCTCTGCTTAGATCGCAGTGCTTGGTGCGAGACAGAATGTTTGCCTTTGCTGAAGACTCGAGCTGCTTTGTGCAGCCGGCGGCAGCAATCCCTCACTGTCAGCCGTCGTCGATTACTCCACCATCGCACTCTGCTACAGGTTAATGGTACGCTATCTGATCACTTAGATTCCACTCAAATCATGTCCACTGCTTTTACACCCTCTTCGGAGAGCTGTCACAGTTAATGTACTATCTAGCACCGCTCATTCCAGTGCTTTTGCCAGGACGAACGCCTCTGCCCTTATTCTACACATACATCGCTCTTGCAGTCGTAGGACTCGTCATTATAGTCACCTTCACATTCTGCTTCTGTCGGTGGTTGTCCGTCCGAAGGACACGACACGCAGACACTTACATGATGACGCCAATCGCACCATCCATGCCCAAGTAGCAACCTACAATTACGAGAATACATGCCAGAAAAAACTCAGAAGAAGACTAGAGTCGACCCATTCACAGAACTGTTGGGGATTGATGGAACGAGAGGCCTGTTTCGGGGACTGCATGACCAAGTAAAATGGAGTAAACGAAACCCAGCAGCCTCAGCTCCTCACGAGAAGGTCCCAGATTCGTCGGATCCTAGTGAAGCTTGAAACTCAATCTCTCAGGCATGATATCGAACATCCTTCGAGAACCTCAACAAGTCACCGTGGTCGCGGCAAGTGCGCTGCCAACAGGCTTGCTTATTGCCATGCACTGGTGTCGGCAGTTGTTTATGTACTGTCTGTCGAGATACAGAAAGAAATTTCGCACGGTAAGTATCTGATTTTTCAAAGCAGGCACATCTGTAGTTGATCGTCAAGCGGTTCGCTGGACCGGCTTCCGATGTTAAGAGATCACGTATCGCATGTTTTGCAACCGGATATTCTTTTGTGTCGGTGAAGTAAGTGTGCCGGTCCTATTTTGTTCGTAATTTTTATTTTAAATTTGTGTTGGTTCCAACCTTGAATTCTTTTCAATTATAGTACAATTTGAATGATCTTTTTGATGCCTTTTCATCTTAAATAGAATATTCTTAGTGTAACTTTTTATAGAATTTCTCTTTAAACAACTGCAAAAACAAATGTAAAGTAAATTGTAATGTCGATAAGAATAGACACCCTGAAATGTTTCTTAATGCACAATATTCCTTGACTAGCCTTTTCTTTAACTATACACATTTTTATCAAACTTTATTTTTCAACGAAAAGAAAATACCATTCTGAAAAGATGCTAACATGGAAGCAATGTTTTTCTTTTTCTTTTTCTATCAGATCTTTGGTCTTTCCTGATCCCTCTTTCTTCACTGTATTCTATTCTCTTTTCATCTGTTTATTGTGTGTGAGGAAATTCAATCACTATTGCACAATAATTGGTTCAATTGGTAGAATGTACACTTAAAAGTTACCAAGTAGTACAACAAATATAGATTTATGTATGGTGAGAGCATGGTATGGGGAGGCTAAAGGTACTTGGCAACATTCCAAGTATCTTCAAAGTAAAACAATGTAGGCATGAAAATGGCTTTCACATGTCACATCACACATACCATGAAATATATATATATATATATATATATATATCCAATTACATGAGAATGACAACGAAAATTTGTTTCCCAACTAGTGATTGTCAGTTCCATTACAAAAAGGGAAAAAAAAAACACCAACTGGTATCCACCTCGAGGAGCTTCAGACAGACAGACAGACAGAGGCACTATGAGATGTGCTTGCAGAGGTGGACATTGCGAGAGAGCAATCGGAGCTTGCTTTGTGGGGTCTCGGTGATCGTTGAGAAGGCCTGCTCCGTGTGGGTTCGAGGCTTGGACCCTCCTGCTGCTCTAGCTTTCCCTCTACAAGTTCGTGCGTCTAGAAGGAAGGAAGGAATGAAGAAAGGAAAAAGAAGAAAGAAAGGGAGGATATGTGCAGGATGCTGCGACTGCTGGCATCTTTGCCTCGGCCACGAGTGGTGTGTTGCTGATCCAATGAGCAACTCGGATAATCTCAGATGCGCAGGGGGTTGCTTGCGCAGTGTCTGTCCTGGCTGGCGGAATGGGATGCATCTCTGCAGGGCTAGAGGTTGTGTGTGTAAGAGCCAAAGCGTTGCAGATGGAGTACATGGTTCCCCACCAGGGCCTTGAACCGTCGACTGATAGGAGTACCGCCGTACTGCGAAGCGAACGGAGAGCAGTAGGACTCGTGAGGGGGTCTGTGCGGAGCTGCAGCAGTTGTGCAGGGCGAGATCAACGCCGCCACCGTCACCATCATCCTCGCTGTTATCGTCGTCATCGTCGTCGTCATCATCACCCTGGCAGTGCCGAATTCGAATCGGACGATTGAATCTGGTAGCTGCCATCTGGACATAGCCGGAGCTGAGGAAATGATTCGCTGCGGAGGTGTTCAGTTCCGCATCAGGAAGAGGGGAATGGTGGTGAGTGGGAGCTTGCGATGAAGAGTGGGAGATGGGGATGGGATCCGATCCACGGGAAGAGAATTTGCGGGAGGTGGGACGAGGAGAGATCTAAAAATACGATTGCAACGCGTTTGTAGTTGCAGCGGGACTTGAATGCGGGTGTGCATGTCATGAATGTAGGTGAGATTGCGAGCGAGGATGTCATGTGGGTCCCCCCTTTTTCGTTGTAGGTGGCTGCAGCGGCCACCAATCTCGGGCCGGAATCCCGATCCTTCTCTTACATCCCAGATCATCACCGTGCTTCAGCTACAGACCAAGCCAGCTTGCCAATTGCTCCCCACCTCGCTTCCAGCTCCCTTTCCTCGTCACTCAGAGCTCGTGTGTCGCTCCGTCGAGGTGAGAGCCTGCGTTGTGGTGGTGCAGTGCGCTTCCTGGTGTTCTGCGCTGTCTCGAGGCGCTTGGTACAGTGGATGCTGGTGGTGTTCGTGCGGGCTCGCGGTAGAAATCGGGTCACAGTCAAGGCGAAAAGTTATCGGAATGCGTGGAACCCATGCACAAGGCCTGAAATCGGGCTTTCAGCTCTTGGATTTTTAGAGATTGGTGGCTTGGATGGAAAGTATGAGGTAGTAAGCAGAGCGCACAGAAGGGAAGCACGTCAGTGAAGTTGTCTGAGGCTTGGGGTTTCTAGAAATCTTTTGCAGCTGAATACAGAATTGTGCTCGAATAGAGATTCCACGGTGGAATACAGGGAGGATTTAGGGGTTAAAAGATGAGACAGACGTGGCAGAAATGGCAGATTATGGGAAATGGGGCTCAGCTCAGCTAGGGGAGCAGCAGGTGGCTGCCATGGCCTGGGATCCCAGGCGCAACCACAAACGTTTCCAAATTTTCTTCTTCATTTTTTCTTTGTTCGTGTTCTCTCGTTTGAAGCCACTGCCAAGCGCCTCCGCCGCGACTCTGTGGTCAGACGGTACGTGTCATGCTCCTGCTTAGAGTCTCGTGCACATTTAATAGGCTCGTCGGGTGTTTGGAAGCAACTGCGTCTTTACAGGCCACTAATGTATATCTAGGAAAACTGCATGAATCTTCGGATTACCCGTGGGTTTAGTAGTGCGTAACCTGCATTTGAATCACCATCTGCGAAGGTTAGAGATGAGGTATAATTATAGCTCCCATTATTCTGTCAATGGCACGAATTAGGAGCTAGATTACGCATTTTCTCCCTTTGAGCGCTCAAGGCAAACGGTACTAGGTAGCGTTTTCTTTTTGGGCAGTGTTGTGTGAACTTGTCGAAGCATCTGTTACAAATGCGGCAAGCAGAGAATTAGCCTGTTGCATGGTACCGGAAACAAATAAGCAGGATGGTGATTCAGCTTTTCAAGGAAGATTGTGAGATTATGGGCAATGCTTTTCAAAGAAGCCAGTGAAAATGCTAGATTACTTTTTCAAAATGCCTACAACGTGCTATTCTCTCATTTTTAGCGCCAGCTCGAGTATCATAGCGGCGAAAGCCTCGGTGTGGTAGTATTGTTTGTTCCAGCTAATCATCACGAAGTGATATTGCCGTTACGCTGCAGTAGTCTTGTGAGGCTCCGGCTGATTCTCTGCCTCAACATGACAAAGATTATGTCTGTCAATAATGCCTCTTAGTTTGTCTCTGAAGTGCTAAATTAGTTGTGTGTGAATACTGCAGCGAGCGCTTTGTATGGACTCCGACAAGCTTGGAATGCAACACCAGGGCTACTCCAGAACTGGACCTTGGGGTCCGATCCATGTTGGAATCAGTGGATGGGTGTTTCTTGCTTCCAAAATTCAGTTATTTCACTGTCAGTTCGCTTCCATCTTTGCATTTGATTTAAAGGAGCTCTAGCGATATGCCTTTTGTTGCATTCCAATGTCCTCATAATATACAAGCACCAGACTGGCCACTTGTATTAAAGCAAGCTGATCTATGACAATGTACAAGTCTTTATGTCTTTCTGCTTACTACGAAAACAAACAGAGTGCACTTCTGTTATGCTTACACCTCGCCAAGTCTAACGTGGCCTTTTCGATCGCATTGTGAAGGAGGTTGGATAAGTTCGGGATCATAGGAACTCTGTCCCCAGCGATTGGCAGAATGAGGAACCTTCTATACTTGTGAGCATTCCGTTCACGTTTTGTATTGTTTTGTTTTTGTTTCTGTTTTCTTTTTTCTCTTTTTTTCTTTTTTTCTTGTTTCCTACCCTTCTGTACCTAAGCTCTCTCCCCCCCCATGTATATATACATGTTAATGTACCTTATGAGTTAAAGATGTGGGTTCGAAGATGGGTACTTGACGGTGGCCAGTTGAAAATGTAACATTCCAAGATGAATACGTGTTCTCTCTAACACACGTCTTTTCATTTCGCAGAAATATAGCAAACAATCCTGGGCTCACTGGAGCTATCCCCGAGGAAATTGGTGACTTGTTCCGCTTGTATGCATTGTGAGTACTTGGAACACCTGGTACACCCTGCTCTTAGTAACAAACTTACTTCTGGTCGAAAGAGGTGCTGGACCTTAATTTCCAATGGCAGAACATCTGACGAAGTATCTGGGTGTGTAAATCTTCAGACAGTTGGCTAATGTTTGTAATTGCACTTCTTAGGGTAAGTCTTAGCTTTCAAAATGCACTTGTGTGTCTTTCTGCAGAGACTTATCCAACTGTAGTTTATCTGGAAGGATACCGGGGAGTCTGGGCAACTTGGGAAATGCTAGCTATATGTGAGTTTACCACCCAATCTTTTGGTTTTCATTCCCTCGAAATTCTTGAACACATTCGCGTGTATGTTTGTTATATTTTCATTTCGTTGGTACCTTTGCAGGTATTCATATTATAAGAATAGTTCTTTTCTTATCATGGTCTACTGTTGACATCGTTACTTGTGAAGCGAAGATTCGCTGAGTAGACTTTTTGGTATTTTGGCAAGTCAGATATCTGCAGGGAAATCAGCTGAGTGGAGAACTACCTTACACCATAGGTTATCTATCAAAACTTCTCGAGCTATCTCTGGGGCGGAACAATCTTAATGGAAGCATTCCTTTCTCCTCGCCTGACGGTTTCCCCGTCGGTTTAAACAATTTGACATCATTGCTGACCTTGTAAGTGCAACGTGTTCTTCAAAACTATATTTTTTGCCTCGAAAAGACAGCGCGTGCGTGTGCAACTTCTCTACTCAGCGTTCTGAAGTTTTGATAAAATCACTGTCGACGTTATTTTCTGATAATACCACATTTCCTAATTTGCTTATGGGGTGGAACACGCAGGAATTTGGAAAGGAACAAACTAAGTGGGAAATTATCTCCTTCTCTGGGCCAACTGCAGCGCTTAACAACATTGCTTCTCCGGAGGAACAGTTTCAGTGGGTGCTTGTCCTGTGCCATATCGAATGAAGGACTCTATGGACTCGACAATCTAACAGAGCTTGGTCAAATGTAATTTGAGGGAACCCATCCTTCCAACCACTGAATTTCTGTTGAATCTCTTACGGTTGGTGCTCAGCTGTTTAATTTTAACTTATTTTTGCATATGTAGCATGTCCACTATTCTACACTATGCTTCACACCTTTTATGGATTGAAACCTGGTCATTGATTTTGTTCGTTTAATTGTTTAATGAATTCTAACTCTAATTAGTTTGTTCTTCTTGCAGTGACCTGAGTTTTAACTCTTTTGAGGGACCTATTCCTGACTTTCTTCTGAAACTACCACTTATCAAAATTCTGTATGTAGTGCTTCCCTCTTCGATTGAGACCTGGTTTATAATATGTTTTTGCTGTTCTTAAATGGTACAAGCACTTAAGTGTTCTTCCGAGTCTCTAATTGGTCGCTTGAGTAACCTACACTTTGCGCTTCACAAGGAGGTTTGTCAAAAACAGAGAAAGCAGTTGACAAGTTCACACGATTCCAATATTTATTGTCGCGTCATTTTGCAGAAATTTGAGTGCGAATCGATTTGCTGGAGTTCTGGATGGTGGTCTACGAGCTTCCGGACGCGTGGATATTTACCTCGTCAATAATAACATCTCCTCTATTATCAATTTTCCAAGCCCGTTTATTGATCCAAAGTATGTTCATCAGACCTCTTCCTTCAGTTGATGTCACTGTCTTTCCAATACGAAGTGCTATTACGATTAAATCGAAAACTCTGAGAACAGGGGTTGTTCCGTTGTTGTAAACAAAGATTCAATGGCCTTTCCAAACAGGCCATCTTTCACCAGGGTTCCATGGGTTTGAAAGTATGAATGGCTATATTAAATTCTGAACAGTTGGTTTTGATGATGTACCCTTTACAGGCTTGGGGGCAATTCCGTCTGCCAAGATCAATCGTTCCCTTTTGTTGATATCTGCACCTACGTTAGGTGTACACATGGAAGCACTTCATGGCAACAGCGAACGTCGTGTACCACCGTGTGCGAGAAGGACTCCGTTGCCCATCCCACAAGTTGCAGCTGTTCTTATCCCTACAGTTGCGACATGTTCTTTGGCTGGTCGAAAACCTTTGGGCTTGACGGGGCTAGAATTGGGCATCTGAGGAGACGGCTTGCATCTGAGCTGAATGTGCTTTACGGAGATGTGTGGATAGAGAGCGCCACATACAAGAACATAAGTGAGCGGGAGCTCTTGGCGAAGGTCCTTTTTTTCCCACCTTCGCCAAAACAGCGTTGGGATAAAGCTCAAATCACTTCTCTAGATGATCGACTGGTGAACAAAACCATCAAGCTTCTGGGCTATGATCCTTATGGTCTTATATCATCCAACCTTCGGACCCTCACAAACCCACTGAGTTCAGGTATAGGGAAATCACACATTGTGCCGCTTCGCTTTGAATCTAGGCGTATGCCCACCTGTGGTACACTCTTATTGTTTAGTTTCGAACTGTTAGTTTTCTCGTGATTTGTTGGAACTGTTTCGGGACTACTCAACACTTTGTGTAACGTTAGTTGGATGGATTCCCACCTCAGGAAGTGCGGACCCAATCACGAAGCAACAGCCCAACCACAACTCTCTGCCTATTGTGACGGGGGTTATCGGAGGATTCGTTGGTCTGGTGACGTTAATAAGCCTTTTGATATGCTTTGTCAAACGGAGAAGAATACCTTCTCCTCTCGATAATCATGAAGGTAACACACACCGACATTGCTCAATCCATGTGGTTCAAGCAAGTCGATGATTCTTATAATACCAGTTTGGTTGATACTTACATGGTTGAGTTGTCGCTCACAGAAATATTTGACCATCTCAGCCCTGATCATTTTCCGAGCTGTCTCTTCTCTTACGATGAGCTGAAAGCCTCGACGAGGAACTTCCACAGGGGGAATAAGATTGGGGAAGGGACCTTCGGCGCAGTTTATAAGGTGGACCTGTAATACCATTATTCCTTCCTTCAACTATCTTGTTTCTCCTTGTGGCTCACGACGTTTTTTCAACGCGTGATATTGTCCTTCCTTGACAGTCTTCTTCTCTGTTGACAGGGCACTATGCGGGATGGCAGTGAAGTAGCAGTGAAGGAGCTTCCATCAAACATCAAGCAGGATAATCAAGCGTTTCTCAACGAAGTGGAACTAATCTCGGGCTTTCAACACAAGAATCTCGTCAAGCTTCGTGGTTGTGGAATCCGTAACAACAGCCGGTTGCTCGTCTATGAATATGTCGAAAACAACTGCCTCGCCCAAGCCTTGTTTGGTCAGCCCCACAACTAAATCTTTTCTTCAATATAGTATAGTACACTGGTGGGATTGTGCTGAGTTTTTCAACTGTTGATAACTGCAACCATTGGGTGAATGCGAGTTGGAATCGTGGCAAGTATCCAGCTTCTAACTCTCAACTTCAAACTCCGTCTGTGTCTTTATATAGGAAGCAAGGCAATATTGTTGGAGTGGCCGATTCGGTACAACATCGCCGTGGGGATGGCCAAAGGGCTGGCATGCCTCCACTCCAGAGGCCCTCAACGCCTTGCCCACGGAGACATCAAAGCTAGCAACGTTTTGTTGGATAGATTCTTGGAGCCCAAGATCGCAGACTTTGGTCTGGCTAGAATGTGCCAAAACAACGAACGGAAAGTGCTCACCCGCATTGAAGGAAAGAGGTGAGTAAACATCTTCGAGACTGTGACTTCATTTAAATTTTCTTCTATCTCTTAGTGAAAGTTTCTAACGTGTTTTTACTTGGATTTGGAAAATGAAGGGGCTATGTGGCACCAGAATACGCTCGTTATGGTCAACTTACAGCGAAGACGGATGTCTTCAGCTTTGGTATAATAGCTCTGGAGCTTGTTTCCGGTCGAGAGAGTATGAACCCCAAGTTCCCCCCGGAAGAGCAATACCTTCTCTCTTGGGTGAGTCCGAGAGGTATCTGTGGTTATTTTTTATTATTTTATTTTATTAATTATTATTAAATTTCTTAATGACAAGTGCCGCTTTTGATTTTGATTCCTGTCAAGTATTTTCTGCCTTGTTTTGACGTTGGGTGCTCTGGAGCAGGCATGGAATCTGTATGAACAGAGACGTGTGATGGACTTGGTGGATCCCAAAGTGAAGGAGGGATGTGACGAGGAGCAAGCCCTTCTGCTCATCAAAGTGGCGCTCCTTTGCTCCCAAGGGGAAGGCTTCTCTCGCCCACACATGGCCCGGGTGGTGACTTGGTTGTCTGGGGATGCAGACATCCCGGACATTCCACAGCGACCGGAGTTTCTTGGAATCGGTCTGACTGATCCAAACAAATCGAGAGCTCGTGGGACTGCCTTGACCACATGGTGATTTGATGGAAAAGCTCCAGAGACTGCAATTGACTTCTATCGATCCACCTCTTGATTACTTCTTGTTCGGTGCTGGACCTGTTGTTCTTCCATAGACAAATTGGCTGCCAAGCTGTGTTGTGCTCGACTTCGAGAAGTTGCTGAGCCCATGCATCGTTCTTGCAACGAAAGAAACGTTAAATTTGTCTCATTGGGTCCGTCGGGACGGAGTCCGTTCACACCATCTGATAGCAGTGATTCAAAAGCATGAGGCACTTTCCGAACAAAGAGCAACACGAATTGCGTGCTACGTGGTTAAAGCAAGCAGATTAAGAAAGAGCACGAATGCCCAGGCACTCGGCAGTTGTAAAAATTCTTTTTGTATAGTATGCACTTCTTTAGGGTCCAATTCATGTGTAGTTTTGTCCCAATCATCCCAGCTAAATTCTGCTCGTACTCGAGACGACCTTTGAAATCCATTTCCCGAAAAGATAGGGTTGTGAGTTCTGAATCTGCGGCGACCAGGTTCATGTGACGACAGAGATTATTTAATTTAATTCGCTCACAGAGATCTTACATGTGAGCGAATTAGCCGCTCTGGTAGTCAATTTCACGAGACAATGTGTTGCTTCCTGACCAGCTGTCATACTCAAGTGGCGAGCAATAATTGTAAGCTGGAAAGCGGGATATTTCGGCTTGGATATTCCTACTTCCGAGTATACTTGCATTTCTCTTTCCACAAATAGACGTCTTGCGCTAGCACCGACAAAGTGTTGAAGTCATGGTGCAATGATTTTATTGATAAATAACGTGGACCAGCTTATCGTTCCCACCAGGACCTTCAAATTTGAACCACCATCTATCATCTCCAACGCGAGTCACTGTTTCGAGGTGAAACTTTATTGATTCTTCACCTGATGCTGTATTTCCCAGCCGAAATTCACTTCTTTATGCATGATGTCCTGCTCGGAGAGCAAGGAGGAGGATCTTACTGCTGTTATCCTGACAAAAAAAAAATGCGTGGCTAGATTTACTTGAAGAAATCTTATCCACGAATTCAAAGGAAAACCTGCACACGTACCGACGATCAGAATGGTGGTGATGAGAGAAACTTCGTATTCATGCGCCAATTCCCTCGCGAATTTTAAAATCTGAAACGGTCAGCAATGCTACCTGACAATTAGCGTTCTAAAACCAACCTTTCAGTAATACCGTTCTCCTGTAAAGTTCGTCCGCAAGCTATTATTTGAAGAATGCGCAGGTTTCCCCCTGCTACCGTACGCTCCACTTGGGGTCCTTTACAGCTGCCAACTCTTAAGTGACCGGCGCCTTACTCGGCGTCAGACTCACGTGACTCGTCGATAATTTGCTCCAAGTTCCGAAATCTGTCGTACAGACAGAAATTAGGGGTTTGGGTTGAAACTTGTTCGTGGTGGGCACTCCAAAACGCGCTTTGGAAGTTTGATCCCATCCGCTCCAACCCCACCCCAATCGAACCCCATCCGACGTAATCGGATCACTGGTCCTACTTTATTGAACCAGCCCTGCTATGAAAGCGATTGAGTGCTGAGTCGCACACCTGAAAACTTCAGTCTTGGCCCTGGCGTGTTGTCAGTAGCACAACCTTGATCTGCTGAGTTCGCCACCCGCACAGCTCATATTACCCTTCAGTGTTACCGCTGTGATCCATCATCGAGGATGGCACAACGCATTTGCATTGCGATTGTGCTACTGCTTTGCTTCTCTGGAGTGTCTGCTCAGTTTACACCCGACTGTCAGGCTGCGGCCATTTCGTTGGCGTCATGTTACAGCTATGCGTCGGGTCCAGCTACCACACCCCCCTCGGATTGTTGCGCCCCCCTTCGTCAGGTGAACGCGAACAATCCTGATTGTGTGTGCCAGGCACTCGCCAATGTGGGTACCAGCACAGCTGTGAATGCTACGAAGGTTCGGGCGCTTCCCAGCGACTGTGGCATCACAGTAGACTACGCAAGATGCCCGGGATCAGCAACGCCTCCTCCCTCCGCCGGTACGCCCCCCATGACATCTCCTCCCATGGGTTCTACTCCTCCTTCGATGACCCCTCCCATGGGTTCAACTCCTCCGTCGATAGCTCCCCCCATGGGTTCCACTCCTCCTTCGATGGCTCCTCCCACGGGATCAACTCCTCCTTCGACCGCGCCTCCCATGGGGTCAACTCCTCCTTCGACCGCTCCTCCCATGGGGTCAACTCCTCCTTCGACCGCTCCTCCCATGGGGTCAACTCCTCCTTCGATGGCTCCCCCCATGGGGTCAATGCCTCCTTCAATGGCTCCCCCCATGGGGTCAATGCCTCCTTCAATGGCTCCCCCCATGGGGTCAATGCCTCCTTCAATGGCTCCTCCAATGGGGTCAATGCCTCCTTCGCTGGCTCCTCCCATGGGCTCAACTCCTCCTTCGGTAGCTCCTCCCATGGGCTCAACTCCTCCTTCGCTGGCTCCTCCCATGGGGTCGACCCCTCCTTCGATGGCTCCTTCAATGGCTCCCCCAATGGGTTCCACTCCTCCAGCGATGGCTCCTTCTTCCGGCGAGACTCCTCCTGCAATGTCACCCCCCAGTCCTCCCTCCGGCGCTGTCTCACCTGCCCCCATTATGACCCCTCCCTCCGGCGGTACGCCACCTGCTCCCACAGTGGCTCCTTCCTCAGGCGAGATGCCTCCTACTCCTTCTGGCTCCATGCCATCCCCTCCTCCAGAGAGTTCTCCAATGGCTCCTTCCAGCGGTGCTACTCCTCCAGGGTCTTCTCCCACCTCTCCGTCTGAAGCCCCTGGCTCTGTCAATCCCTCACCAGCCAATTCACCTATCGGAGCCACTAATCCACCTGTAACCTCCCCTGAGGCTCCCGGACCTGTTGCACCCAGCAACAATGCAGCATCCATGGGCGCTTCCTGGACTGTTGGAGTGGCGGCGGCAGTGGCTTTGCTTAGATTTCTGTAATTGCGACCGTTCGACATCAGCTGATTTTCGGAGGTGCAGTGTTAAGAGATTTAGAGGCTAGTTTATCACTCTCGACACACTGTATCGTGTCAAAAAATTTGCGGAATTTTGTGCTCGATGTCCATCTTGTAGGATGATAATTCGATGTTTCCGCTGTGTATCTCTGTAATGAAATATTTTTTGTGTCGGAGTTGACAAACTTCCGGCCAATTACTGCCATTTTTCTCGTAGTGACGGTTGGATTTTGTTCTCAGCATTGTGTGCAGAGTTTGCAAATTAACTCAACTCTCTCCGTCAGAGCATTCTAATCCAGCAATTTCGCTTTCATCAGTGTACCTTTCTACAAGCGAGGTGTTCCCATGGAAACGTGACCGTGCCGCGGCATGATTGATTAATGTTGGGTAGTTCTACAAATCTAGTGAATGTCTACTACAATATTGTGTACCTGCGCCGAAAGTAGCCATCACAATTTAGTCAGATGTATGGGCTCTCTGTGCTTCACCAGGAACACTGTATATTCGTGTGTAGATTAATTTAACGCTTACTTCACCCACATTCGTGAGGTGGAAATTAATGTTCGGGATGGCTATCTCTGTCACTGCTGTGTCGAATAGCTGATCCTTGCAATTCGGCAGGTGATCAGAGAACCTCATCCAGTAATCCGACACCACGAGTTTATCTGTAATAACCTCTGTCGGGCAACTTCAATATGCACTGGAATGTGCGCAGTCACGGGATCTTTTGCACCCGTTTGATCGGAATTATCCTCTACAGTGTAAGTAGACACATTTCGATGTTGAATGTTCATCAAAATCGCTCAACATGAATAAATTCTGCCATCATGCGACACAAGTGACCTCCTGCTCTTCTCTCATGCAGAAATGTGCCCTCATAAGTCTCGATCGCAGGAACTGTACTCTGATCAACGCAGAGACCGTAGTTGTACCTGCTGGAATATGTGCATGTGTTCAACCAAACTATTACCGTTTTGATGCTGGACCTGCTCCAATAGCAATTACATGATTGATCTTCTGCTGATACTAGCTTCTAGCATCATGACGGCGACGACTTCTACTGGGTGATTTTTTACAACCTAGTCCAACTCTAGCAAGCCTCATGCCCGAAGACGTCCTTTGCGTCCTCTGGTCTTGAAAACTCTGAAACCCAGTACATTCTCCACAGGTTGGTTTCAGTCAGATGCGCTTTTCTTTGTCAAAGTTGTTGTGAATCGAAGCCGTATCTTGTCCATGCTACAGCATTTTCGACCTGGAATTCTCCTGTCTGGTCTATAGCTCGCAATATACCTGTTTCAGTGCTGCAGTGGACCTTAGCTTGTCAAGATTTTAGAGGACCCTCCTATCGAAGCTTTCCGCTCGGTGTCATTTACGTTCTCAAAACAAACAAGTAGTGGCGTATTTCGTGACAACAGGTGGAACCAGTTTTGAAAGCGCATTACTCAATCCTAGAAGAGCTTTGCACATGCCTTCCTCTCCGAAAGCCTGCGTCCCACTTTCTTATGCAGCGTTTAATATATGCGATAAGGCCCACAGGAACAATGCCTTCTGAGAATCTTCCCAATTGGGGTGCAGGAAAGAATATTTAACCTGTTTCGTTTACTGATCAGGAAAGGATCTCCGTTAATTTTTTCTTTCTTGTCAAGTGAACACCTAATGACATTCAGTCAGTTGATGATGAACAGACCTCTGAGTGCTTCATGAGTATCAAGGGTAATTTTTTTTTAATTTTTTTCATTTCCACAAATAACCAGACTTTGGTTCTAAATTTGCGGCTTTACTGTTGTTTCTAATCCTGTGGTTACGTACTCTGTGACATATTCATTAAATATAAATGAATATTCATTACTATTCATATTCATATTCTCTTTTCAACTTTGTAGATTGGAAGCTTCCAAAATTTCCATAAACTTTTCAAGTTTCCAACCTGTTAGAAGCTTGTGAAGGACCAATGGTCGGATCTTTAAATAAAATTACTTGGTTGGTCTGCAAGCTGAGAGAATAATATTCTCTCCTTAAACGCAAGAATAAAAAGTAGTCGCTTACCACATAATTAACGTGATTGGGTGGAATCATACAGTATACTGTTCTACTTCGATTATTCACTCAATACTATTCATCTCAATGTAATATTTCCAACGTATTTTAATTTCTGTAACCTCGACAAAAAAAAGTCTAAACACAACATAAACATAAAAAACCAGAAACATGTGAAAGTCAAAACACAATGTAAACAAAAAATCAGAAACATGTGATTTGACATGTTTGTGACAAATAAATAAATAAATATAGGGGAATGTTGAAACGACACAGATTTTTACTAAAGCGACCCACCAGCATTACCATCATCCCCACCCTGCTCGTTCCCAGCCTACGATCCCTCCGTTCCCAGATCTCATCCCTAATCCACATTCTGACTCCCTCCGTTCTCAGACAGAGCGGTAGAATTACTCCTGGGCGCGCTCCACTTTGCAGAAGACGTTGTTCACAATGGTCGCAGCAGCTTTATATCGAGAAGGTCCAGAGCGTTTTTTGAGCCAACAACTTTTGTTTCATCATTGTAACTGAAACACATTGTGAGTTCCATTGTGCTTGGTCGCCAAAGAAGCGTGGGAGCTTTTTCCTCAATCCCGGTGTCGTGTGTCTGAGAGCAAGTGTCGTCGTTTCCGCAGCTGCAGAACTCTGGACATGGCATGCATATTTGGATATAAGTATACATATCCAAATTAAATTAAATTTTTTTAAAAATGAATCTTCCAACCTCTGCAGAAGTAAAACTTCATATACACAGACATACGACACGTTTAATCGACATCGTCGAAACCAAGGAGATAGTGAAGAGCCAACGTATGAAACTGGTGAGAGGAAAAATCGATCAGACTATCGAAGCACACGCAATTCCTGGGTTTAAGAGTTCGATGCAGCAACGTCAACCAGCAACGTGCACCAAATTCCGTCTCCCTGGAGGATTCTAGAATTTCGTCCTCCAAACCAACTCATGGTCGCCGTGCCATACGAATCCCTTCTTCTACGGATATGTATACGATATGGAAAATTCATACGTATGCGGAATGGCGTTGAGGTGATCGTGTTGAAGCTCTACTTTAGTTGGATGGTAGTGTTTGGTGATGTGAGAGGGAGTTTGTTTCATATAAAGTATAAGTGTGTGAATAAATATATATATATATATATATATGTATATATATAAATAATGACACAAGGTTAAAGGATGTTATGTTTTTTTTTTTTTTTTTTTTTTTTAAAATCACAACATTGTATATATATATATATATATATATTTATATACTTATTAGCAAGATTAGATATAGTTCTTTATGATAAAAGTAATAATTGATATTTTCATATACACATGTAAACAAAAAATATATATATATATATATATATATATATAAACACAAAATGATTTATCTAATTATTTGATTAATATTGTAATAAAAAATAAATAAATTAAATCATCTAAAGTTCTAACATCTTACAAAGTTACTTGACTATTTCCATTCTAGAATCTTTATTTTTTGGCTTGTATATTATTAATGTCAAGGACAAGAACTCGATGAAAAAACAGTTCAGACAAGTAAGCCTTCACTCAAAGAAAAGTAACAAAATATGAATAATAAGTATGTATATTGAAAAGAGAAACTAGAATGGCTATTGCCAAAAGACAAGAAAACTAGAGACCCTTGAAACTAGACTAGAAGCAAGAAAGGAGTTGATAAGAGTGAAGAAGCCTTCACTCTTGTCTCTATATATACTATCTAACTAGGGGCTACGTGGCGACGTTCTATAGGACCTCCAATATGTGTTGACTTTGTAGGATACATGCCTTGACTTACAAGGCAAGTTTTTCTACGTGTAGGCCACATAGTTAGCTTGATCTTCAAGCTAACAACATGTGTGGCACATGGCGAACTTGTTGACCACGTTTCTAATCCAAAAAGTCAATTAAAGACACCTATGAAGTCAAAGCAGCGTCTAGGAAGTTTCTAGGAAGCTTCTATATTAAATATTATAGAATTAACTTACTTTTATCTACTTTTACTTACTTCTACCTATTTCTATATGTAATTATTAGCTTACATGATTATGGCCGTGACAATTAAAATATATCTTAATAATCAAAATTTATAATTTTAGTATAATATTTTTTCTATTATAATATCTACCATCTCACATACTATCTAAAGATCTATGCCAACTTCTTACAAATATCTTCTCATTACCTATATATATATATATTTATATTTTTTTTTTCTTCTTTTGTTTATTATATTATAGGGCCATACTTCATTATGTTTTACTTAATTAAATAAATAATATAACTTTTACTTTAAGCCTTTCTATTGAAATAAAATATATTGGGATTTGTAGAGATTGTTCAAAGATAAGATCCATAATATGTTTCTAGATTTGTTTAAACATACAAAGAGTTTCTTAAAAAAATATGATCTTTTTATTTTCTTTATTTTCTTTTTTTTGGTTCATTTAAAAACCATTATTATTTTTAGTCCAATATTTATCCAACTTAAATAAATTCGTTAAATCTATATAATATTTCTTTCGTAAGCCTTGAAGAATATGATTTTATTTAATTTTTTTCCTTCACATATTGATAGGTACACTATGGTGATTTATAAATTATATTTTAAAAAAACTAAAAATTCTTTTAATATTTTAGTATTTTTTAATATCTTAATATAAATTTTATTTTAATTTACATATATATATATTAAATAATTTTATAATTATAAAAACATGCTATAACAAACTTCTCCTAGATGCTAAGACAAAGATGTCAATATATCCAAAAATAAAGTAGTATTTGTTTTTTTAATGATTTATGAAAAGAATTCTACAATTAGATGAAGTATTTCAATTATTCTTCTTTTCCACTTTCTTCTTTTGCTTACAATACCTAACAACATACATATTAGAATTCTTTGTCAAAAAATGATAATCAAAATTACTTTTTTCTTTTAAATTCTACCACAAAAATATGGATTTTAGAATATGAAATCCTCTCTATTAGCTGATTTAAATACACAAATTCTTAAATATTTGATTTTGTTTGTGTTTTATTTAAAAGAGTGAACTTGAACAACTCCAATACACCTAATAAAGATATTAGATTATGGTGGTAAAAAAATCACTTTCTAAATGTTGTTTCTTTATATATCTCACAATCTT